AGACGTTAAATTTCTTTACTTTGACTGTTTATAATTCAAAATTGCAACTTAAAATGAGCTTTTAATTTTTTTTTACCCCTTTTGGCGCCCCCCTAGGGTCGGCGCCCGGGGCAGCCGCCCTCCCCGCCCTCCCCTAGCTACGCCTCTGCATGTATAGTTATGATAGGCTTTCAATCCAAACAAGCAAATACATTATGTTGAACCATTGTTGATTTAAGCTTTTACTATATTCTACCACAGCTAACAGTGATTGTCTATTTTATTTTTTAGGCACTTATTCTACTGAACGTGTTTATTAATTCGTAGTTTTTTTCCTGTTACTTTTCTATCAATATTTTATTATCTTATCTATAATATTTATTAATATATCTACATTCCTTTTAATGGCCGCTCATTTATGATCACACATAATGTTGTTCAACTATAATTCAATACGTTGTTTCTTTTTATAAATGTTAAAGCTTAAAGATGTGATTGATATTCATATACGTGTATATAACTTGATCTTTTATGAATATTTTTGTAGATATGTAGATTTAATTTTCATATTGTTACAGTGATTTATCGATGTATTGCCCGCCGTTTTTCACCACGCCTGTTTTGACTTATATAATTCAATTTCATGTGCAAATATATAATGTATGTATATATCAGGGGTCTCCAAACTACGGCCCGCGGGCCGGATGCGGCCCGCGAGGTCCTCTCATCCGGCCCGCGGAGATCTTTTTGTCCACGGAAAAAAAAACGTTTGTTAGTGATGGCTGAGGAACTTTTGCTCAGAAAAATCACGACATGCCTGGAAGAAACTGGCCCTCGAACTGAAATTCGATAGTTAATGCGGCCCTCGGACTGAAAAGTTTGGAGACCCCTGGTATATATGAATGTTACTAAATTTATGCAGAAAGAATCTCAATTTCCCGGTGACTGGTAGAGAAGAGTCTTATTCAGTGGGTCTAAATTATATTCTAATGTCTGTCTAGTGGGTCTCTTGCTTGTCTTGTGGGACTAATATATGGGTCTCTTGTCTGTCAAGTGGGTCTCATGTCTGTCTAGTGGGTCTCATGTCTGTCTATTGGGTCTCATGTCTGTCTAGTGGGTTTCATGCTTGTCTTGTGGGACTAATATATAGGTCTCATGTATGTCTAGTGGGTCTTATGGTTGTCTAGTGGGTCTCGTGTCTGTCTAGTGGGTCTCATGTCTGTCTAGTGGGTCTCATGTCTGTCTAGTGGGTCTCATGTCTGGGTCTCATGTCTGTCTAGTGGGTCTCATGTCTGTCTAGTGGGTCTCATGTCTGTCTAGTGGGTCTCATGTCTGGGTCTCATGTCTGTCTAGTGGGTCTCATGTCTGTCTAGTGGGTCTCAAGTCTGTCTAGTGGGTCTCAAGTCTATCCAGTGGGTTTCATTTGCTCGCTAAAGTAATGATTGTTACGGATATTGATTTCGAACATTGTAACTAGCGAGTACCTAGGTTTAAACTGCTTTATGATCTTGTTACCTAGCTTTATCTCAATGGTTTGTTCATATCAACGATTTATTTACACGTTCACAAATCACTATTTTATTTATATATTATGGTTTATTAACAAAGAATTTAAATAAAGATAATTTACAGCTCCGCCTGTCTTCCTGTAGTCTTTGTTTAAGAATGGTGACGACATTTTCTGCGCCTAAAAGTAATTGGTTTTCAAAATCTAAACAGGAAAACGTGTTAGTTTGGTTGTGTTGATTGATTGGCTGAGGGTGATTCTGCGGATGAGTGGGGGTAAAGTTCCCTTGTCGAAGCTGACGGTCTATAGGGCAAGTAAAATAGAGTTCACATATTTCTAACGGCTTCGGTATATGAAGGGATGATGTGATCAGCATTATGCACAGCCGCCTTTGTTTTCCCTATAATTATTGGGTGGAATCGAACTCGAGACTTTTGGGTTAGCAGTCTAGGGTGTGTGTAGGGTGTGTGTGTGTGTGGGGGGGGGGGGTGGGGTTAATGCATTTTATTGTCTTTTCTTTCCTCCATAAGATTTGATCACAATTGATATGTCAGAAAACTAATGTCTATATTTAATAATTTTCGTGTTCACAGATTTCAGGTTTATATTAATCATGTAAAATTGTTCAGTTTGAGGATCAGGGTAAGTATATGTAATTTCGTGGACGCACATGGGCAGGGGGGGGGGGGGGGGATGGTGTTTACAACTCCAATTTTTAAGGACGTCATAAGTGGTGACCTCTGACATAACATTTTGTAAGCCCCGGTACAGTAAAGCAATCTAAAAATAGCAGGCACGTTGTATGTATAACTTTTCATTCACGGCCAAACACAGAAACATTTATTCAACAAGTGTTATAGTTTTTGACCTTGGACAGTATGAAGTATCTGCTGTTGTAAGAGCTAAGTAAAGCGAGACACTTTACAACTGTGCCATTTACAGAACGTTAGGTTACAAGGTTGACATACAAGACAGGCAATTCTCTCAGGTGTCTGGTGGTGTGTGTCTTCAGACACAACTGTCTTAGTGTCTTTGTCACAGTTGGCTTAGTATCTTTGTCATAGATGTCTTAGTGTCTTCACTCTATCACAGCTGTCTTAGTTTCTTCACTCTGACACAGCTGTCTAAGTGTCTTCATTCTGACAGAGCTGTCTTAGATTCTTCACTCTATCACAGCTGTCTTAGTGTCTTCACTCTGTCACAGCTGTTTTAGTGTCTTCACTCTATCACACCTGTCTTAGCGTCTTCACTCTGTCACAGCTGTCTTAGTGTCTTCACTCTGTCACAGCTATCTTAGTGTCTTCATTCTGTCACAGCTGTCTTAGTGTCTTCACTCTGTCACAGCTGTCTTAGTGTCTTTGTCACAGCTGTCTTAGTGTCTTCACTCTGACACAGCTGTCTAAGTGTCTTCACTCTGTCAAAGCTGTCTTAGTGTCTTCACTCTGTCACAGCTGTCTTAGTGTCTTCACTCTGTCACAGCTGTCTTAGTGTCTTCACTCTGTCACAGCTGTCTTAGTGTCTTCACTCTGACACAGCTGTCTTAGTGTCTTCACTCTGACACAGCTGTCTTAGTGTCTTCACTCTATCACACCATGTCTTAGTGTCTTCACTCTGACACAGCTGTCTTAGTGTCTTCACTCTGTCACAGCTGTCTTAGTGTCTTCACTCTGTCACAGCTGTCTTAGTGTCTTCACTCTGACACAGCTGTCTTAGTGTCTTTGTCACAGCTGTCTTAGTGTCTTCACTCTGTCACAGCTGTCTTAGTGTCTTTGTCACAGTTGTCTTAGTATCTCTGTCATAGATGTCTTAGTGTCTTCACTCTGACACAGCTGTCTTAGTGTCTTCACTCTATCACAGCTGTCTTAGTGTCTTCACTCTGACACAGCTGTCTTAGTGTCTTCACTCTGTCACAGCTGTCTTAGTGTCTTCACTCTGACACAGCTGTCTTAGTGTCTTCACTCTGACACAGCTGTCTTAGTGTCTTCACTCTGACACAGCTGTCTTAGTGTCTTCACTCTGTCACAGCTGTCTTAGTGTCTTGACTCTGACACAGCTGTCTTAGTGTCTTCACTCTGACACAGCTGTCTTAGTGTCTTCACTCTGACGCAGCTGTCTTAGTGTCTTCACTCTGACACAGCTGTCTTAGTGTCTTCACTCTGACACAGCTGTCTTAGTGTCTTCACTCTATCACACCATGTCTTATTGTCTTCACTCTGACACAGCTGTCTTAGTGTCTTCACTCTATCACACCTGTCTAAGTGTCTTCACTCATTCACACCTGTCTAAGTGTCTTCACTCATTCACACCTGTCTAAGTGTCTTCACTCTGTCACAGCTGTCTTAGTGTCTTCACTCTGTCACAACTGTCTTAGTGTCTTCATTCTGTCACAGCTGTCTTAGTGTCTTCACTCTGTCACAGCTGTCTTAGTGTCTTTGTCACAGCTGTCTTAGTGTCTTCACTCTGACACAGCTGTCTTAGTGTCTTCACTCTGACACACCTGTCTTAGTGTCTTGACTCTAAAACAGCTGTCTTAGTGTCTTCACTCTATCACAGCTGTCTTAGTGTCTTCACTAAGACACAGCTGTCTTAGTGTCTTCACTCTGTCACAGCTGTCTTAGTGTCTTCAATCTATCACAGCTGTCTTAGTGTCTTGACTCTGACACAGCTACCTTTGTCTTCCCCTTGACACAGCTGTGTAGTGTAGTGTCCCTTACCCTAACACATGACGTCTCAGTACCGATGTTCTCATGAAGTCGCCGTATAGAAATATCCCCCCTCCATGACCTGACTTTTGTCACTTGGCCAAGTGCCTGCAGCACATTCGTGACACGCTCTACGCACACAGGGGTGGTGGCAATAATCAATGGACAGATGTGTTGGTTGTTATATAAGCTGCTCTTTCAAATAGAATCAAACATACACCTCACATACATTCACCTCTCATACATACACCACACATATACCACACTCACACACCACAAATATACACCACACACATACACGCACGAATAAAAAGTAAATAAATAAAAATACATAAATACAATTTATAAATAATATATATATATATATATATATATATATATATATATATATATATATATATATATATATATATATATATATAGGCCCTATATATATACATATATAGGCCCTATATATATACATATATATATATATATATATATATATATATATATATATATATATATATATATATATATATATATATATATATATATATAAGTGTACTGTCCCACTAGAAGCGCCGCCAATGCCCCACCTTAGTGCCACTAGGGCTAGGGGAGTAGAAGAGAGAATGGAACCAGATTCTGGACGGCCAGATTTGTGGGTGACCCAGATTCCGGTCACATGTTTAACAGTCTGGGACGTGTGCACTGACGTTAAGTTCGCGTGCGGCCATTGATTGAAGAACTGGAGGTATGTGTTGACGTAACGCCATTCGTGCTAGCTAGGCGTTCTTAACTGCTGCATTACGTGTATTTCATGTGTTGTTCTATGTTTGTTTTGGTATTCTAACGTGTTTCAAAAAAGTAAGTTTACTTCATACTTTTTCTTCCATTATTTTTTTTTTTGTTTGTAATGTTTAAATTTAAATCAATATCTGAAAAAAAAGTATTTCTAGTATTATTGTTTCTACTCTCGTTGTCGTCTATACATGACATCACACTACTAAAGTGTGTGTGTGGGGGGGGGGGGGGAAGAGGGGGAATGGAAGAGTGTACGTTCGTGACGATGTGTAACAAGTGGTGGTGGTGGGGGGGGGGGGGGGGTTAAAAAAGTGTTTCGACAATATTTAAAAATGTAACGTGAGAAACGAATTAAAACTGTTATAAAGATATTTTGTAAATTTAATAATCATCGATCGATATACTCAATCCTGACCGAGTTCAGCAGATATTTTAGAAAGATATTTCAGTCTACACCGCTAACCCCTACCCATAATGTTAGTAGGGGTGGTAGGCTAGGCTGAGGAAAGACAGTATTGTAAGAGGGGTCTTGTTTTTCATGATGATGGGGAAATATAAGATTAGAAATCGTTTTAAAAAGCGTTCGTCGATTAAAGATAAGTTCTATATGTTAGATTTCTATATGTTAGATCTCTATATTTTAAATCTCTATATATTAGATCTCTATAAGTTATATCTATATATTAGATCTCTATAAGTTATATCTATATATTAGATCTCTATAAGTTATATCTATATGTTAGATCTTTAATCCATAGACTGACAGGCGGAAATGAGGAGAGCAAAAAATTTATTCCAACCTGCTGTTGGTGTGTGGGGGAGTCGCCTCTCTGTGCGGGGAGCATCAGGCATGACCCACCCCACAACTGACCAGCTGGAGGTCAGACCTTTTGAAGAGATCCCTGGACCTAGGGGACCCTACCAGTGGCCGGTTATTGGCACCTTGCTATTGTTTAAACCGTTCTGTGAGTAACTATTCTAATTTCACTTCTGCAACTTTGACATTTTTTCTGTAATTAATTTTCTAATCTTATTGGTGAGCAGCTCTTATACTTGATTTTTAATGAAACTTGAATTTTTTACTGTTAGTAAAAAATACATCTTTTAATGTTGGATTTTGATTATTTTGCATAGCAATAATAACAAAAAAACGTAATTATATTAGGTAACCTTGACGGTGAGATGTTGTTCACTGTTGTTTGTGGTTTCATAGAGGGGCAGTTGTCTGGATAATAACCTGTTAGATAATATCGTATGTGTATTTAATTTGGAGACGGGGGGGAGCTCAAAGATAATTAGAGAAGGAGATTTGATAGAGTTCGTTCTAGACTATGATAGTGTGAGTTAGAGATTTTTTTCAAAGCAAGTGGGGAACCCTAAGAAATCATCTCAAGTAAGTTCTTGATGTAATGGATTTACTTGATCGTGTAGCTAATGCACTCCAGGAAATTAATAGATTAATTAAAACGTTAATTAGAATCAACAAACCATGTCACTAACCTTTACATTCAGCTCATTAAATGTCCTTCCTTCCCCCCCCCCCACCCCCCACAGCCCAGTACACGGCTGAGACCGTCCACAAGATGGTGGACGCCATGTTCCAGAGGTACGGACCTGTGGTCAAGTTACAACTGGGCAAGCAGGTCATCATGGCCTGCGACCCTAAAGACATCGAGACAGTCTTCAGGAACGAAGGGAAATTCCCGCACCGTCCACCGTTCAGCCTGGAGAAAGTTTTCGCCGAAAGAAATAACCTCACTAGATCCTTAACTATGGCGTAAGTAGGCTAGGCACTTCATATGTAGTTACTTACGCTTTAAGACAACTAAAGCAATCTTGTTTAGCCATTTAATTAGAATTCCAACCTCGCAAATTTTTGGTGTGCATCTTCAGCTGAGCCATCTGAAACGAGCTAGAGTGGAGGGAGATTTTGTATTTATTTTCTGAGGGGGGGGGGGGGGGGAGGACATTTTTCAATTATTTTTTAGACTGTTAGTTTCTTTGATAAAAAAATGGTTCTTTGAAAATTGCCATGAGGTTAACTGATAGGGAGTAATTTATCTGAACAAATGATAAAGGATAATGGACGTGACCTATACCCATTTATTGTCACACCTGTATCTACAGGCAGGGTGAGGAATGGTACACCCCCCACCCCCATATAAAACATGTCTACACCTGTATCTACAGGCAGGGTACACCTCCCCCACCCCCATATAAAACATGCCTAATTTATCTACAGTCAAGGAGAGGACTGGTACACCTCCCCCACCCCCATATAAAACATGCCTATTTTATCTACAGTCAAGGTGAGGACTGGTACACCTACCGTGCCCCCTATATAAAACCTGTCTACACCTGTATCTAGTCAGGGTGAGGACTGGTACACCTACCGTGCCCCCTATATAAAACCTGTCTACACCTGTATCTACAGGCGGGGTACACATCCCCCACCCCTATATAAAACCTGTCTACACCTGTATCTAGTCAGGGTGAGGACTGGTACACCTACCGTGCCCCCTATATAAAACCTGTCTACACCTGTATCTAGTCATTGTGAGGACTGGTACACCTACCGTGCCCCCACATAAAACATGCCTATTTTATCTACAGTCAAAGTGAGGACTGGTACACCTACCGTGCCCCCTATTTGAAACCTGTCTACACCTGTATCTAGTCAAGGTGAGGACTGGTACACCTACCGTGCCCCCACATAAAACATGCATATTTTATCTACAGGCAGGGAGAGGACTGGTACACCTACCGTGCCCCCATGAACAGACGGACTGATGAAAACAGACTCCGCCCACCACTACCTGGAACCACAGAACCGTGTGGCGGATGATTTTGTCCACATTCTCTCACACGGCACCTCAAACCGGAAGAGATTTCCGACCTGTTTTTCCGATACGCCTCAGAAAGTGAGTGAATGAAGTCATTGTTTTAAATGCTATCTGCTTGATTGTTTGTTTAAATTGATTGTGATATTGCATCTTTTCTATTATTAGTTAGGTAGTGCTTTATATACTACGGAGTCAAAAATTATAAACATAATTTCCGATGTCAATGTACGTGTTCTTTATAAATAATGCGCTCTGTATCGTGAAGATTGTGAAACAGATTTGACTGAATCTAAATGTTCCTTTAAAATATAAATATATAACTTTTTGAAATCATAAATTCATCAGTCCTCTATCAGCACCTAACCCTCGTCACATGATTACTATTACTGATGTGAACTTTCAGCAAAGTTGAGACAAATTTCTCGCCAGAGTTTCTTCCAACCCCCCCCCCCCGTGAACGAAATGGAATTTATATAGAAAACATATACTTTTACGGTTGTGTCCGATCCCCGGGTCATGTCTAGTGACCCACGCAAACATTCATCATTCCTATATCAGCACCTAACCCTATAAACTAGATATCCTAGCATGTCTACTGCGATAAGCATACATTCACCAGTCCTCTATCAGCACCTAACTCTACGAACTTGATATTCCATCATGTCTAGTGACCCACGCAAACATTCACCAGTCCTCTATCAGCACCTAACACCACATATTGTGTACCTTTAACATTCACCAGTCCTCTATCAGCACCTAACACCACATATTGTGTACCTTTAACATTCACCAGTCCTCTAATCAGCACCTAACACCACATATTGTGTACCTTTAACATTCACCAGTCCTCTATCAGCACCTAACACCACATATTGTGTACCTTTAACATTCACCAGTCCTCTATCAGCACCTAACACCACATATTGTGTACCTTTAACATTCACCAGTCCTCTATCAGCACCTAACACCACATATTGTGTACCTTTAACATTCACCAGTCCTCTATCAGCACCTAACACCACATATTGTGTACCTTTAACATTCACCAGTCCTCTATCAGCACCTAACACCACATATTGTGTACCTTTAACATTCACCAGTCCTCTATCAGCACCTAACACCACATATTGTGTACCCAGGCATTGGTGTGGTGACCTTTAACATTCACCAGTCCTCTATCAGCACCTAACACCACATATTGTGTACCCAGGCATTGGTGTGGTGACCTTTAACATTCACCAGTCCTCTATCAGCACCTAACACCACATATTGTGTACCCAGGCATTGGTGTTGTGACCTTCAACGTCCGACTGGGCTTCATGTCCCCCAACCCAGACGAAGACACAAAAACCTTCCTACAGGCGTCACAAGACATCTTTAACACCATGAACAAATCGATGAACGGGGAGTCGATAGCTCACACGTGGTACAAGAACAAAACCTACCGGGAATTCGAGAGAGCTTCTGGAATTATAACTAAGTAAGTTTGTCCATTGAACGATTTTTTGAAATTTTAAAAACATTTACTGATACCAATTTTTAAAAACATTTGAAAAAAGACATTTTTACTAGTGAAATATAGATTAGTTGAGGTCTTAAATAATAATTTCAAATATTTAATTATTTGACAGATATATCATATGTTGTTGCGAAAAACAGAGTTTCTTAGGGACTTTTTTCTCCGGGGGTGAGGGGCACTTGATATATTCGGGATGGGGGGGGGGGGCTACATTTTCCGGGGATCGGACACAACCGTAAAGGTATATGTTTTCTATATAAATTCCATTTCGTTCACGGGGGGGGGGGGGGGGGGGGGGGGGGTTGGAAGAAACTCTGGCGAGAAATTTGTCTCAACTTTGCTGAAAGTTCACATCAGTAATAGTAATCATGTGACGACTTATTTTTGCTCTGAACGCTGTCTAAATAATTATTTAATTTTAAAAATAAACTTTATAAGAGTTTTTATAGAGTTTACCAGAATTTCAAAACCCTTTGTTATCTGACCAGAAACTCAGCAAAACATGCTGCACAGGCCAGGAAAGTGATTGAGGAACAGACAAAAGCAGGAACCTTAAATCCTGATGAACCAAACCTACTTCTCTCCCTTAGCGCGGAGAAAGGCTTAGACTTCGACCAAGTAGCGATGATCATTGATACACTGTATGTTGCTGGCACTGACTCGGTAAGTTTTGTTTTAGTTACTCCCCTTGATGTGACTTGTAGGACTTACCATCGCACAAGGTTTTAATTAGCCAGTACAGCTGTTAATCACGTTTTTATTTTACCTGGAATCGATGGGAGTTAATTACTGAATCTGGTTACTTTAAAAATGTTATCAAGGTGTTAGTTTAAAACATAGGGCAGACTGGGTTTTCATGGCTTGAGTTTTTTAAGGCGGCAGATGAACTTGTTTTGGTGATGTGTTTTCTTCGTCAAATGAAAGTATTTTTAGACAGACAGAGATAACCCTATACACATTGTTTATTATTTAAGTTAAAGAGCGACGAACTTGAAAGAATTGTGTATCATTTAAATCTGTAGTCGAAAAAAAACTGATCGAATATTTTGTCATTCCCATCAGACAGCGAAAAACTGAGCGAATATTTTGGCGAATATTTTTTTATTTCCATCAGACAGCGAAAAAGTGAGAGAATATTTTGTTTCAGATAGCGAAAAACAGAGCGAATATTTTATTTCAGACAGCGAAAAACTGAGAGAATATTTTATTTCAGACCGCGAAAAACTGAGAGAATATGTTATTTCAGACAGCGAAAAACTGAGAGAATATTTTGTTATTTCCATCAGACAGCGAAAAACCTCCAAACCTTGTTCTACAACCTGGCAACAAATCCCGACAAGCAAGAGAAACTACGTCAGGAGATTCATGACGTCATAGGACACGACGGACCCGTCACTCCTCAAGCTATTTCGGAAATGACGTATCTGAAGGCGTGCCTGAAGGAATCGTTCAGGTAGTTGGCATAACCTTGATTTTGTTTTTAATCCAACACAATTTTCTTCTGTTAGATTTGAAACGTGTAGCTTAAAGAATTTAGTAACTGTTAAAAGCTAAAACTTTAGAATTGACATTATGTGTATCCTCTACTTCCTCTACCTCCTAGACTCCACCCTCCCACAGTGGGGGTCACCATGAGGATATTACCTACAGATGTTGTCCTGAGTGGATACAGGGTACCCTCTGGGGTAAGTTGCTTTGCTCTTTACAGGTATTCAAAAATATCGTTTCACTGCAAATACAAAATAATTAATTATATGATTTTAATAGGCTTCTTATATAATAATGTGTAGATGTCAATAATTTCTGTTCATTTGGTGCAGCTGGTGTATTTGAACTTATAGCGGTGGTTTTTGTTTATTGTTAGCTCTAGACCACTTCTAAAATGCAAGCGTAGTTTAGGAGTTAAGTTACAAGAAACGGCGAGTGTTTGGTTGTATAAGTATAATGGTGTAGCAAATACTTGGATTGTGTCGTCTTTGATAGAGGGAATCGTGACTCTGAGCAACCCTACATTTGCCTGCTATAGATCTTGGCAACCCTATCATTATCAGCTATTTATAACAGGCAACCCTTATTTTATCTGCTACAGGTTCCCGTGATACTCGGCAACACGACAGCCGGCAAGATGTACTTTGACAACCCGCAGCAGTACAACCCAGAGAGGTGGTTGCGCTCATCAGACGGCAGGAAACAGGAGAACATCCCCAGTTCTGCCGTCTTGCCGTTTGGTCACGGGCCCAGGAATTGTGTGGGTCAACGTTTTGCTGTCCAGGAGATTTATCTGGCAGCTTCAAAGGTATTTTGTAACGAACTGTTGTGGTCTCGTGTTTAGTTAGCGAGTCTACTCACGCTATTTAGTGCTCATACCATGCACGGGGCAGGATGATACAAATTAAAATGCTATCAACAGTGATTATATATTTGTTAGAGAAAATCAGCCATTAGTCAAGTACAGCTTATTTTCGAACCAGTTAACTAAAGTCAGTCATAGCTTTGTTCTTTTTAAATTTTATTCCCAACTGTTTAGTCATTTGTAATGCATGTTGCTGGAGAATGTGGTAAAAATGTCTCGTCACCTTTAGCCTATGTCTCAGATATCTCGTCACCTCTAACTTATGTCTCAGATGTCTCATCACCTTTAACCTATATCTCAATTGTCTCGTCACGTTCAACCTATGTATCAGATGTCTCGTCACCTTTAGCCTATGTCTCAAATGTCTCGTCACCTTTAACCTATGTCTCAAATGTTTCGTCACCTTTAACCTATGTCTCAGATGTCTCGTCACCTTTAACCTATGTCTCAGGTGTCTCGTCACCTTTAACCTATGTCTCGTGTGTCTCGTCACCTTTAACCTATGTCTCGTGTGTCTGTGCACCATGTTGATGTATCTCATAATCGGCAGGTGCTACAGAAGCTAAAAATAGAACTGGAGCGTGAGTCCTGGAACACGGAGTTCATCTACAAGGTTTTCATCACGCCAAAACAGCCGCTCAAGTTTAGGTTTACAAAACTTGTTGGGTAAACTGGTGGGGACAGAATTGGTGTGTCGATAGTGGAGTGTTAAGTTCTGTAAGGACAGAATTGGTGAGCCGATAGTGGGTTGTTGATTAAAGTGCTGTAATCAAAGAATTGTGTCGATAATGTATAGTTGAGTACATTACTGTAAGGAAAAATTGACGTGTCAATAGCGTCTTTCTTATTTAAGTGGTCTAATCAAAGAATTGTGTAGGTAGTGTATAGTTGAGTAAAGTTCTCTAAGGAAGAATTGTTGTGTCAATAGCGTCTTGCTGAGTAAAGTGGTCTAATCAAAGAATTGTGTTGATAGTGTATAGTTGAGTAAAGAACGGTAGGAAAAGTATTGTTGTGTTGATAGCGTGTTGTGAATAGAATATAATTTGTGCATTATTACATGAGATGTTTAAGTGATTTGTAATTATAATTATTGTATGACTACTAGCTGTAATGAATCCACTTGCAAAACGTGCTAAGTCACATCATATTATTTTGAGCTGTTTGACTTACATTTTTCTTCTTATTAATTTTAAGATTTTCGATTTTTTACTGTTAAAAGTATAATACAACATTCATTTTAAAATATCTATAGACTACAATTTTGCCTAATACTGTAAACGATATTAAATAAAATAAAGGGCGATAAGAATATTTATTGTTTTATTTTCACCACGTTGAGATAACTGGACTTAAAACTATTTCCTGTTATCTAGCTTTAGAAGCTTCCAGTTTTTACTGTCACATTTTAAAGTATACTCATTAAAACACAAAGTAGTATCATTCTGTAATTGACATTTAATTAATAAGGCCATAAGAGTAAACGAATTTTTTTCAAACTTTGAATTAGTAAGTTTAAAAACGACTCAGAACGTACAAGTGCAATGCGGGTCTTTGCTAATTGTTGAAAGAGCGAACGTGCTTTAATTAATGGTTTAAAGTGTTGTTGGAACATTGTTTAGCTACAATATGTTTTGACTTAATCTATTTATAATCTTTTAGTATTTACCTTTTGATGATTGATACAATTAAATGTTACCATTGATATGTATTTTTATAAGGTTTTGTAATATAGAGAAAATATTTTGTTCACCTGTTGGAGATATACTTAGATGTAAATATTCTACAGAAAAATTGTTATTGACCCAAATATATTACGCCTGTTATAATATTTATTTTATTTCTTTATAATATGTTTTTGATAATCATTTATATCGGTTTAGCTAATATGTATAACTTATATTTTTAGAGATAGATAAACTTTTTTTATTATATCTTCAAGAAAACAGTTGTCACTAAAACGACTGTCAAAAAGTGTTTCCATACATAAAAGTTAATTATATTCAATCTTATACAATTTAATACAAAAAAATCGAACAAATATGAATGCACGAAATGCAATTTTTTTATGTTATATTTTTTTATCAAAATACAATTTTTAACAGACTGTTATCAAAAATACTTATCATTAATATTACGGTGTGGAATTTTTCGTTATTAAATGTTTTAGAAGTCATATGGATTCGTGAATTGGGGCTTTGTTTTGCTCTCAACGGGCATAAGGGGAGACAAGTAATCAAAATTGTGTTGGTAAGTTATTTCCCGTTAAAACAACAGTTCGTGTTCTTAGTAAAAAAGGCTTTTTATTTTGTTTTCATTAGTTTGTACATATAGCCCCAAAGGGCGTTGTCTAGGCAACGTTTATGTTCTCAAATGTAGCCATATAAGGAGTTTACCTACTTGATTTTTATCACAGACAGTCCCCTATATTATGTTTGATTGACGATTTCCATTGCCGTTGCAGACAGCGAAATACTTGACCACAAAATAAATTATTATAAAAATAAATTCATTTTTGAGGAATAATATTGCAAAAAATCACAAAAAACAACAACAACATTTGAAATACATTTGTTGAATGATTAATGTGGTAGGTAATTTTTCTTACGATAGTCTGTTTTCACGCTAATTTTATATATATATATATATATATATATATATATATATGTATAAGAGCTAGTTTCTTACAAATCTTGAAATTGTATAGAGCCTAACTTTTTAAGTCTGTAAACTCCAGTCTCTGTGTCTTTTAAATAAATATTTAAACTATTTGATAGAAATCAACAACCTCGCTATTATCAGTGTTGTCGTTTGAAATTAAAAGTGATGGAGTGGTCAAGTGGGTAAGCGCATGGTTTCTAATCATAAGCCCCAAGTTCGAACCCTATGGCAGGTACGTCTCGTCAGACTCTTTCCTTCGGCAGCTCGGTGACACAGCTGATGCCAGGCTGGTTATGTAACGTCCTGTCCATTGGGTCCATCTGTGTAGAGAGATGGGGGCCAGTTGAATGGTTAACATGTCCTGTCTAACCTAACGCCCCAGACATTAAGCTTGAATTTCCAACTCGCCATCATCCAATGGTATATTAAATTATGAAGCCATATCAGAAAACAAATTGACGGTGAAAACAAAGACACCCGCGTCTATGTTACTTATACATATTACACAAACAAAGAAACGTGTCCTGACTGTAGGGACCACACATACACATATAACGCCATTGACGACTGTGTTGACACAGTCAAATGGTGTCATGGCACTGGACGTGAGACTCGCCAAAAAGGATGTAGCATGCCAAACTAAATAGAAATATAAAGTAGTTAGAGGCCTACAGTTTTAGGAAAAAAAAAAGCTAGACTACATCTCGATATCAGTTCCTCAGTTAGATGCTGGATACCTCCTAATCAATTCCCAACAATAAAATGTGAACGAATATGAAACGAATATGTATGTGCATGACCTTTTCTTAGATCCTGGTATTTTAAACTCGTATGCGTTGCTGATTAAATAGATGACGTACGAGTTGGAAACCAGGCATGTATCTGTTTTTTATGAGTTTCAGTTAACGCTGAATAAATTGCTACATCCAATAGGCAAGGTTTCTTTTCACGTTGAATGGTTGAATGTAAATGGTATGCTGCAAGCTGTAATACAACTCCCTTCACTTATCTTATTTATTGACACACCGCCAAGGTTAACACATGTCTCTGATCTATTTAGTGTTACAAGGTTGAAAGAAAAAAAATATCTACTCTCTAAAATTAAAAAAAAGCATCCTATCAGAAATATGAAATAAAGAAAGAGCATATTTAAACGACCGGGCAATAATAACACACGTTTTTGAACATCAAGCATGCACCTCTACAAACTAGCATTAAGTTTTTCTTTAAAATCCTGCTTATATTAAAAGTTCAACAATGTGACATCTTTATTCTGTAAATGGCCCTTGTTATTTATTTATTTATATTTTTTATTTTTCTGTTTGTGCTCAGGCTAAAAATGTTCTACTCTATAATTTGAACACAAGCATGAAATTCGCGAAAACGACGACAGCTTTGAGTGAGAAAAACGGTATATCATTAAATCACGATAAAGGGAATAATTGTTATCGAACCGTCGTTTTTCTCGGTATGGGATCAATACAGCGATGTGAAAGATACGTTATGATAGATGATTGTAAGTTACAGGTAAATCTCAGGTCATGTTTTGATATTGTGCTTTGAATTTAAACAATGTTTAGCTAAGGGTTAAGGTAAGCTAACATGATGACATGACATGACATGACGTAATTTAAGGGTTTTCCTCTTTAATCAGTTGGTGCAAGAAAGCGTTACTTTGTAAAACAAAATAAACGTTTATTTAATAGCTAGGTAATTTTAATATATGACGAGTGTAAGCTCAGGTTTTTTATTGTAACTACAGAACATCGCTGTTTTTACAACAAGACACTAACACAGTAAACAAAAATATGAAAGGCTTTCTGTTTTTGACAACAGCAGCTGTAGTTCTCAGTACTGTAACAACAGCTAATGTCACAACAGCGGTAGGTTTCAATGCCATGACACCATCAGCTAGTAGCCTCATAAACATGACATCCTCAGCTTTCATAAACATGACATCACCAGCAGTCATTAACACGACAACATCACTTGTCATTAACACGACATCAGCACCTGTCATTAACATGACATCCTCAGCTGTCATAAACATGACAACATCACATGTCATTAAGATGACAGCATCACCTGTCATTAATACGACAGCATCAGCTGTCATACTGTCAGAGAACCCAGGTAAACAGAACCTGCTGTCGCCTGTCCAGTACAACCTGATGATGTTCCTGCTCCTGCAGGTGCTGTGGCCGTGTCTGGAACTTCTAGGACTGCTCGCCAACCTACTCAACATCCTCACCTTCCCCCAGCTCGGCTTCAACGACAGCATCAACGTCTCCTTCTTCATCTTATCTATTGTCGACTTCCTTTTCCTCATCTGTTCCAGCCTCATCAACACCTTCACGGCCATAGGTCTGTACGCCTCACAGGCCACGCCCACCGTCAAGATGCACGCGCTCTCCGGGTACCTGACCTGGTACAGGCACATCCTGTTCAACACTTCCGTCTGTGTACAGACTTACATCGCTGTAGCTCGCTGCTGTTGCGTGTCCATTCCGTTAAAGTTTAAAAACTTCTTCAACGTCAGGAAAGCCTTGGTGATGTTCTGCATCATCGTGGTGGTGAATGTGACGACCAACATCACGCTCTTTACATCACAGGGCGTGTCGTGGCAATGGAACCCTGTCCTGAACGTTTCACAGCTGACGTCGTGGTACGCCCCTGACTGGACTTTGTATAAATACATCAACGATATCGGCAACAGAACGCTGTTTCCTATCGTGGCGCTGGTCACTTCTGGCGTATGTGCTGCCATACTTATACGAGCTTTATACCGAGCATCAAAATTTAGGAATCAAATGCAGAGCAATTTTAAAAGTGAATTACCGAAACAAAAGAAGACAAGCATAGTTGATATCATAGCACAAGCGCAGGAATCAGACATTAATATATCAAGAAAACATTTGTTTAGTTTTACTAAAAAGGTGGCAGTTAAAAAGTCGGAGAGTTTAGTCGATTCTCAAAATTTGGAGACTATTAAGGGCAGGTCACAGGGTAACCGTTTTAGTACAGCTGCCAAGAATGTAAACATACAGAGAAGCGAACTGAGAGCTGAATCGTACAACTACTTTATGAGCAGCAAGGAACTTCGTGTGGTCAAGGCCGTTATGTTGGTGACCGTAGCCTCGACCTTGACATTGCTGGTTGTATCCATCAACGCCATCGCTCAGGTTGTTGAGCCGGAACTTCTGCCTTTAAGGAAGTATGACGTCATCTACTCCTTGACCAGCCACGCCGGCTACATGGTCATAGCGGTCAACTGCAGCATCAACATCGTCATTTACTTCCGGTTCAACACCCGATACAGGGAAACTCTGACCCGTATGTTCACAACATCGCTATCAACAGTTGAATCAACACTGCCATAGACTACACGCTGTATTTGGTTGTTGTACACTATGGTGTGTCTAACCTAAGTACAGTGGGCTAGGTTGTATCACATTTATACGTTTGGTTGTATGTACACTATGGGTAGCCTAACTTAAGTGAATTAGGCAAGGTTGTATCACATTTATACGTTTGGTTGTATGTAGTCTAACATAAGTGAAGTGGTCTTTATTGTATCATATGTATATGTTTGTCAATTTACCTTGTCTGTTTTATCTAGATCAGGGGTCTCCAAACTTTTTAACCCGAGGGCCGCATTAACTATCAAATATCAGTTCGGGGGCCAGAGTTTCTTCCATGCATCTCTTTGGGGTGGCGGTATCCCCGTACCCCCCCCCCCCCCCCCCAACGAAATTTAATTTATATAGAAATATACACACATTTTTGATGCACCCCCCCCCCCCCATCCCTGGAGAAAAAGTCTGAAAGAAACATTGTCTGGGGCCAACAACAGCATTTTATATATTGATTTGTAATACTCATTATCAATACCTTAACATTTTAGTAAAACCATTTTGCTTTAACTTTGTTTAGTTTTTACTTGGACATTTAAGATGGGTTAATGTAGAAAGAAATTTTAAAGTTATTGAAAAGATGGGGACAAAAAAAAAGATACAAGTATGATAGGTGTGCGTGGCGTACAACCCCTCAGAGTGTGTGCATTAATGGTGACCAGAAAGATGTATCATATGTATATGTTGGTCAATTGGTCTTGTTTAATTTATCTAGATCATAATGGTCACTATTTGTCCAATATCATAAAAACCAGCATTTAATATATGTACGTATGTTTGTAATATTCTTTATCATTACATTAACCTTTCAGTATAACCCTATTCCCTTAACTATGTTTAGTTTTTACTTGGAGATTTAATAATGGTAAATCTAGAAAGACATTTCAAAGATGGGACACAAAGATAGATACACGTACGAAAGATGTTAGCTGTGTACAACCCCTCTGTGTTTCTCCATTAAAGGTCTCATACAAAGAAAGAAGCCCTACGGGTAGAAGAATCGGATAATGTAAATAACATGTTGACGAGACAAGCATCGGACGAACAGGTCACATCGATATGGAATCCGGCGGTGTTCCAGAAGGAACAGAAAGATGACCCCAGCCTCGCGAAAATATTTAGATTAGCGCAAAAAAATTCAGTCACGTTATCAAACATCTCTACGTCCTGTAGGTCAACACACGTCTTCACTCGTGTGAGGGGGTGGTGGTGGTGGTGTGTAGACAATGGTTCGCTCTGCGCATGTAATCTATTCTTGTCGTCATGCAATGTAACAGGTGTAAGGCCTGATTGATTGGAATTTTATTACACAGGTCTTCTTTATTACATTTATACAAGATTTTATCCAACACTTATATTGTATATATATATATTTACATATATATATATATATATATATATATATATATATATATATATATATATATATATATATATATATATATATATATATATATATATATATATATATATACATATATATATATATATATATATATATATATATATACACATATATATATATATATATATATATATATATATATATATATATATATTTATATACATATATATATATATGTACCGTACACATCTTAAATACAGGAAAGGGGTCGTTAAAATAGTGTTACATTGTGTAGTATAGTAGTGATTGATAGTTTTGAAAAATTAAGATTTCTTTTATTTTCTCATTTAAAAATGTCAATCGCATTTGTAATTAAATGTGTGTATGTTGAGCTTATACTATATTTGTTTTGTGTGTGTGTGTTTAGTAACTTGATATAAGTGTGAGGATGGTCTGTTGGTAATGTGTGGAAAATGTTATGTATGTTGCTACATAAATATAATATTATCGTTCCGATTTCGTAGAAAAGTAACAAACTTGTGCGTGTCTTGTGCTCTACATCCAAAGATTATTGTGTCATTTATAACTTGCAGCACGGTAAGACAAATCTTTCGACCACAATCTTCTAAGTAAACCAATAACACATGTTCTTACCGAGTATTAATTGCTTATAATATTAGTGAAATCAATATCTATACAAGCTTAGCTCTGTATTTACTCATGCGATCAGTGTAATCACGTGCCAGCTGAGGTCGATCATGCGTGACAAAGCCTTCAGGAGAATGTGTACCCCCGGGCGTCTGCGCTGTATTAGCTGAGCAGTTGTGTGCGTCATATTGAGTTACGTGAACAGTTCAGCATCTAGGCTTGATTGGATTGACAGTTCCCTTCATTTTCTTCTATTCAAAATCATTTGTTTGGGTGATACATTGTGGTAAGACTTTTTCTTTTAAAAAAAATTTCAATATGAAAAAAGGACTTTTTATAAGTTTAAAATTACAAAGCTAAATAAATTACTAAGTTGATGTGTCCAAAAATGATGTGTAGTGTGTTAGCATGTTACATAGTGCTGCTGTGTGTACATTTATGTATGTTAGGTTACAGACATCTTGGCACCCACGAAGATTGCCAACTTTATCTTGGTTTCACTGTTGTATGTGTTGTAGGAGGAACAACATGAGAAGTGTATAGTTAAAGCGACATAAACATTGGGTGCTTTGATAGCTGATACATGTCGCTAATCTGCCACTTGCTCACCCAACAAACTTTAAAATAAACTATAATGCGTGGATACCATATTCTCGTATGTAACTGACAACGATTTATTTCAGAAACGTGTACCAGATAAACATGAAGAACACACCTGTTGCTTCTAAACGAAAACGTATCAGTGGTCAGTAAAAGTTGCTATATATATACATATTTATAGACTATATATATATTTTATTTTGTCAGAGACAAAGGCTAATAATAGGTGCAAGTTAAAATAATTTTAAAACAAGACAGGTTAATGATAGGTGCAACCTAAACATATTTTGCGACAAGACAGGTTGATGAAAGATGCAACCGAAAAATATTTTAAAAGAAACTTATGCATTTAATGAAAAGGTGCATAAGTCAGAGTGTGTAGACAGAATATTGAGACAAAACACGGGCGCAAAAGCTATTATTATATTAGTGAAGGAAAAGTGAGGCAGTCAATACATACGGTGAGGTAGGATGTCAAAGGTACATAAACAGGGAGCATATTAATTTCATTCTGCCCTTTCTGTGTATCGTGTCTGAACTTTTTATATTAATTCTGTTTTACATAAAAAGATTAATCAAGGAAATAATATAATGGTTGAAGAAATTTAGGGCAGACAGAGAAGGTTGGTTGTAAAATACAAAATGTCCTAAATCTACATAACTAGGTTATAGACCAAAAGGAAAGAGTTTAATGACCACCAAGTAACAAAAACCTTTTAATAAGCTTGTCAGACATTGTACTCTACCCTCAAACTATTGGAACGAAATGAAATTTATATAATTTATATAGAAAATATATACTTTTAACAGTGTCCGCCCCCCGAAGAAAGTTTACCGCCCCCCCCCCCCCGAAAATTTCAAGTGCCCCCCCCCCCCCCCCGGAGAAAAAAGTCTGGAAGAAACACTGCCCACGTCCCTAGGTATCTTAAGCGATACACAATGTTTGAGAAGAGAAAAGTTGTTTACACCAGGCCAAATTATTTAAGAATTATTTTTCACATACAAATGAAGGGATTTACCATAACATAATCTACCAAAATTCTATATAAAATGATGTATGTACCATTTGTATTACATTAGTCAATTAAAATTGCATTGATTATACTTTTTTAAACGTTCAATCATATTAATATCTTCTGCCGAAACTGGCAAAATGTAAGAATGTAAGAACAGTTCACTTATAATAACAAATTTTAGAAATTTTGTATGGAACGGGATGGCAGAGAGGACTAGGTGTCAGTTATTCAGTTAACTCTCTCTCTGTCATGCTTGGGTGGCTGGGTTCTAAACCTGGGGACTATTAGGGTTGGATTAGGGTTGGATTAGGGTTGGATTAGGGTTGGATTAGGGTTGGATTAGGGTTGGATTAGGGTTGGATTAGGGTTGGATTAGGGTTGGATTAGGGTTGGATTAGGGTTGGATTAGGGTTGGATTAGGGTTGGATTAGGGTTGGATTAGGGTTGGATTAGGGTTGGATTAGGGTTGGATTAGGGTTGGATTAGGGTTGGATTAGGGTTGGATTAGGGTTGGATTAGGGTTGGATTAGGGTTGGATTAGGGTTGGATTAGGGTTGGATTAGGGTTGGATTAGGGTTGGATTAGGGTTGGATTAGGGTTGGATTAGGGTTGGATTAGGGTTGGATTAGGGTTGGATTAGGGTTGGATTAGGGTTGGATTAGGGTTGGATTAGGGTCGGATTAGGGTCGGATTAGGGTCGGATTAGGGTCGGATTAGGGTCGGATTAGGGTCGGATTAGGGTCGGATTAGGGTCGGATTAGGGTCGGATTAGGGTCGGATTAGGGTCGGATTAGGGTCGGATTAGGGTCGGATTAGGGTCGGATTAGGGTCGGATTAGGGTCGGATTAGGGTCGGATTAGGGTCGGATTAGGGTCGGATTAGGGTCGGATTAGGGTCGGATTAGGGTCGGATTAGGGTCGGATTAGGGTCGGATTAGGGTCGGATTAGGGTCGGATTAGGGTCGGATTAGGGTCGGATTAGGGTCGGATTAGGGTCGGATTAGGGTCGGATTAGGGTCGGATTAGGGTCGGATTAGGGTCGGATTAGGGTCGGATTAGGGTCGGATTAGGGTCGGATTAGGGTCGGATTAGGGTCGGATTAGGGTCGGATTAGGGTCGGATTAGGGTCGGATTAGGGTCGGATTAGGGTCGGATTAGGGTCGGATTAGGGTCGGATTAGGGTCGGATTAGGGTCGGATTAGGGTCGGATTAGGGTCGGATTAGGGTCGGATTAGGGTCGGATTAGGGTCGGATTAGGGTCGGATTAGGGTCGGATTAGGGTCGGATTAGGGTCGGATTAGGGTCGGATTAGGGTCGGATTAGGGTCGGATTAGGGTCGGATTAGGGTCGGATTAGGGT